GTACTTTTCATTTTCTCTTTGGTTGGTACAATTCCACACTAACCCATTGCCTGAACTCGGTTTCTGTAGCATTACTGATCTTATCGCTTGTAAATGAGATAGCAGGTTACTTGCAGATATTGTTCATGAAGTTATATGAACTTTTTCTATTCGCTCTCTGTTTACTTCGACTAATTTCAAGCACGTTTTTCTCATTGGTGTGATAGTCATTCCATTTTTTCCAGTTATTAGCACCGATGGAAAATAAGAAACGACTTTATGGTAGCGTTCCAATATGCCAAAAAATATATTGGTTCCAGTATATATTGTTCCCGCAGTGTAATTCATCTCAAACACATTTGAAAATATTGCAGTATAATCTGAAAGGAGGTCTTTTTGATAATGTATTCACATTGTGATGTGCTCAGGCACTATGAGATATCATCTGGGTAGTCTTTTAGCGACCGTGTCTCTTTGGTTTTCAAGTTCCTGATCCAGGGAAGACCAATATGATCAGTTTATACAGTAAAACGATGTTTACAGATGAAAGCTTCGTTCTGGAAACGCAATAATTTTTCTGTTCGTTTTTCTTGAATGCCAAGATGAAAATTATGTGGTACACGCGAGTATACTCACAAGGCTTCTAGCTTTACTACTAGGTCTTTTGCGTGCATAATCCTCTTGTTCAATTTTTTTTGTCTCTTAATGAACTAGACTACCCTAGTAGAGAAACTTCGTTATCACTTCAGTTTTCAATAATCAATATGTAGATGACCTGGTTTTTCATGGTTGTAACAACGCTTTTTTACGAGAAGAGAGGAATATTCGATACCTAACTCTGTTATTTCTCTGATTCATGTTCATCATACTTTGAGACGAAGTTGTTGCCGCTGACCACCACAATACTTTGTTGAGGTCACTAATAAACGCACTGATGATCAAGCAAGGTATATCATGAAAACTATCAAATATATCCAACCTAGTACATCATAATCTTAGCATCGGTAGCTTCAGTACAATGAACCGACCATACTGTGACAAATTAAAAAATTGACTGTCTGAAACAAATTTATTTCCAACAATATTTCACTAATCACAAACTAATTTATTCACAACATTTAGCAATTAACGCTTGATTTATTTCCACTATTTAAATTTCTTTTTTAGGCGCTCTTAATGGTTCTTTCTAGAAATCTATAGTCGGTTCGGTACTCAACTAGAGTTTTACCGGCGGTTGTCGAGTGCATTCTTTCGCGGTGATGTCATGTGTTTGTTACATGATTCGGCTGGCATACTGGTCAGAGGCAGCTTCAGATTCGTTATATTGCCCCCTTCTTAAAGACGTCTCGCCCCGAAATGTCATCCTTGCCGTGTGTCGATACCTGCAGGACTCCACATTTTTGCACTGTGAAGTTCGATGGAAGTAACACTCCACAGTCTTCATGCTCGCTCATGGAAGATGGTTACCGCACACCAAAATCTTGATGCCACTGGATCTGAATATCGTTTCCAACATGCTTCTCACAATTTTTCAGTCCAGCCTGTCACGCCCAGAGGCTAATTTCGGGATTGCAAAGTCCACAAGATTCTGGTCGAGCATCGTGTTCCTCAGTCTGGTAAGATTCCTCCACGGTTTGTCTCGAGAATGCTTTTAGGTCACCAAGTGGAAAATGTTTCTCTAACCCGTCTTCAACTGTAGCACTCCTCCGACTTCAGGATTCTGTTCTCGTAATGTTTGTTGCTGACCGAATTTCTTGTTGAATACCACAGCGATACCCTTAGCCATTTGGAGATCCTCTGCCACGCAATGAGCTAGTACGTTATCAACTGGAATCTTGAAAATGTCTCATGGCTCTTCTTAAGTTACTCCATGTACGACCTTCTGTCCGTTCGAGTATAAAACATGAACTTCTGGAACGTCATTTCATCCTCTGGTGGTCTGAGGGCGCGAACTTGGTCGTGATTTCCAGCATGAGGAGCCAATCTTTTGAAATGGACGACCCTAGGATTTCCTCGAGGTGGCTTATGGATTCGGTAGACGAGGTTATTTATCTTCTTCATGATTTTGTACGGACCTTCCCAGGAGTTCCGCAACTTCAGAGATAAACCACAGCGTCGCTTAGGGTTGTACACCCAAACTAAGTTACCGGTTTCGAATACTCCAGCATGCACCTTGATGTCATAGGCCTTCTTCATTCTATCGCTGGCACTTCGGATGTTCAGACGGACTCGTTCATGGATGTCGTCCATTCTCTGCCAAAGCTTGCTGACATAGTCTTTCCCCGCAGTGTCTTGTTCTGGCGGCGTCCCAAATTTCAGATCGCAAGGAAGTCTCAGCTCTCGGCTCATTATGGTACTGGTAGGGGTTTGGCCGGTTATCTCGTGCACTGCCGAACGATAGGCCATCAGGAACAGGTGCAAGTACTGGTCCCAGTCTCTTTGGTGGTCTGAGACTACCTTGGACAAGTCAAGTGGTGATTTATGGTTTTATTCATTCATTCCACCATTCCATCGGTCTGTGGATGTAAGGCTGTGATTCTAGTTTTTCGAATGTCCAACAGTTTGAACTCGAAATTTCTGCCCTGGTCGGAATGCAGTTATAATGGGACACCGAATCGACATATTCATTCCTTTACCAGGACGTCAGCGACGGTTGGGCAGGGTATAGGCTTCTGCCCACTTACTGAAGTAGTCGCGACTTAACCGCTGGCGAATAACCTGTTATTTCTTGCCACGATGGTCTTTGATTAATTTTTCTCCATCCGATGACTGAACCAAGGCCTGGGTCCTTCTCTTGGTCTTCCTTGATATAATTGTACTCTCAGTTTTCGTCTACAGCTGTAGTTCTACAAATAGCGGCTTCCTTCTCTTCTGCTCGTCGTCAATTGGACATTTGCTAGGCACATTCCCAATTTTCCCACAGTTCCAGCATGTTATTTGGTTTCTCTCAGGCAACACTTATTTTTATCACCTTTCTAACGGTGGCCTTAATATCAGCAGGCACCTGTTCATCTTCCTCGATAGTTTGAACTTTGCTCTGGCTCTTGCAGGATTATTTTACAGCCTCAAACTCCAGAGCGCTTGCCAGTGAATCCACGAGATGTTTGGGATGAGCTAGGTGGGTCTGCCCATACCGTAGCTCAAGATGTTTTATAAGTTGCTCATAGCCTTCCAGTTCTTGGGCCGTGAGGGTTTGCAAAATATTCGTTGCTTCCCCATGCAACGCCAGTGTTAATGCTACCGCCTTTTCTCCTGCATTCCATCCATTCTCTCAGGCCGCAGCTTCGAATTGTCGGCGGTAATTTGCCAAAGGAGTTTTTCCTTCGAACTGGGACGACTTCATGGAGAGCTTCCCTGATTCAGAACTGACTTCGACATCTTTCATTGTCTTTTGAAGTTCTTCCATGTTGAAACTCAGTTCCAGATTTGAGTTTTCGGTAACAGTTTCTGTGGTGTGGACATAATTAACTATTTGGTTTCGCAACTTGCTAATTTTTTCCTTCATCTTACTGATTTCTGCCTCAACTTTGCCTTTGATTTCATCGACTATTTTTTTCTATTCTCTTCATTTCTGCCCCGATTTCATCTTTGATCTCCCCCCTGATTTCCTGTAATTCCGCGTTCACTTCTTTCCTGATTTTGCCTATCTCTGTCTCGATGGTTCCTATCCTTTCTATGAGTAGACTCGCCACGAAACAAAGTTCTTTCTTCAAGCCTTCCGCATTTTCTAGAAGTTATTCCTCCAAGCTATACGAATTGTCTAGAAATTTATCTTCCAAACTTTTCGAATTTTGTGGAAGTTCATTGAGTTTGCTCATTATTGGACTCAAATCATCCCCAGAAACTTCGAATAAATATGTTTCTGGATCTTCTCCTGATTCAGTCGAATTATTCTACAGTCTCTTCTGGAGAACTGATTTCTTTCCAGAACAATCTAGCTCGCTCTCCTCCAATTCTTGCTTCAATTTGGTGACTTTCAAGTCCACTTGGCGGACTTTCCTTGGATACATTTTGTCTCTTATTGTCTGTTTTCCACAAAACTGTATAAGTTCACTTATTTTAATCGAGTCCGCAAACACTTATTTTTTTACCGGCGGTTGCCGACTGCATTCTTTCGCGGGGATGTCATGTGTTTGTTATATGATTCGGCCGACATACTAGCTAGAGGCGGCTTCAGAATCGTTACAATACTGATAACCCCAGAAGAAGTTCGAAAAGCTCTTTTGAGCTCGAATATTTCTATTGCTTCAGCTTCAAATTAGCCGAACTTCCACCTCTGGCCAGAATTAGGAAACCTTGAAATTGATGACTAGTATGTTATTCACTACTATTATGTATACATACTAATGAATAGTAGTGAATAACATACATGTTATTCAGTCTATGGGCAAGATATTGTAGGCCCGCCATTTTTTGTTGTGGGCATGGGAGCTGTCAGGGATATACCTGAAAGTACTCTTTCTATATACATCAAACTCTAGACTCTTATCGACATTTTCAATAACTATCATATCCAGGAATGGCAGTTCTTCGTTATTTTCAATTTCATACGTGAATTTTATACTTGGTTGAGGCAAATACAAAATCCTCTACCTTGCTCCTATTCGTATCGAAAATGGTAAATACATCATCCGCGTACCGGATCCAGGTTCGTGGAAAGTAATCCAACACTTTCGTTACTTCCATTTCAAATCTGCTCATGAACATGTTAGCCATGAAAGCAGACAACGGGTTTTCCTCGTCTCGCCCATAAAAACAGTTGGCGAACTGAAAGCAATTTTATTACATGCAAATTAATTTTATTCTGGTGTTGGGAAAGTGTTTTCAATAGATTTATTTTGAGCCAGAGGTTCCAGTGAGAACTATTAAATTTCCTTATTTCTTATTTATTTTTTAACAAAATATGAAGTTTGTTCGAAAGCTCTACTCAACTCCATTCATACATACATTTTTTGCTATAATTTTTTTATTGAGATAACAAATCACTGATTCACAAGAATGTATTTCATATCCTCTTTCAGCTATGGAAGAAGTCTTATCGGAAGGCAAAAATTTCAAATTGGTTGACGAGTCAGAACTCCCGAACATTATAGATTTCTTAAGCGGATATTTACCAGATTCCATCAAGGTATGATTTACTGATTGAATTCTGCATGACCTTAACTAAATATTCTGCCTGGCATGGCTTGTTATGTGAAATTTATAGTAAGATATTATTATAAAACCAGAAGCTGTAGATGATGGAAACATCCATTTGAGTTCGCTTGTAGATTGTGGGTTATTTAGTATACTACTGAATTACTGAGTACATTGAAGACATTGAAACAATAACTCTTACGGCTCGATCTGGTATTTTATTGAGAATCGGGCTAAGGTTCCTCTTATTCAATTGTTCAGCTATCTTTGAAAATGACATCTATACCATACTATACAGCCATTGCTATATTTACGCATCCAGGGTAACAAATGAAAAATATTAATCAGTGAAAAGAGGTTCTCCAAAATATTCTTGCTGATGATTGAATTGCCATCAATTCTTGGTAGATGAACAGATATATCTATTTGATAAAAGCAGTTACATCGATTAACATATGGAAAATAAGAAAGAAAAAGATCTCTTAAATTCATTAAGGAGAAATATTTGCCTAGATAAGATTCAGAAAGAGTATTTATGATGGTTTGTCCTCCTCAAAACTTGACTTGACTTTGATTACCTTTTTGAGAGTTTTATTTCAATTACTGGTTTGTAGTAAATATAATCATTTGATATTTTATGAAATGTTGCATCAGTTGTTTTGGATTGAGCCACATAATTCAATTTTCCATTTAACGATACTTGCACCCTTTAGCAAAACAGAACAGGAAATGATAACACAGTAACACAACGGCAACAATGTCAATCAAAGACTAAATTCCAAAAACCCGTCGGTGACACAAATTTAGAAGACGAAATAATGGTCTAATTGTTTAAATTTTTTGTTAGAACACTCACAAAACAATTGATAGGCCATAGTTAACATAGAACATACAGAGCGACAATGATATAGGTGGACGGTTAATTGTGTCGTTGAGTGCAATTATTGGAGTAAAGATATACTTCTCGATTGGATGGAAATCTTTAAACAACTGATTGAATTAATTTTGGTAACGTTAGAATATTGAGTGGTTATATCAGTTATTATTTGATATTCATTTTCCGGGAACATTCTAATATGACGGAGCAATTTATTCACTTGGTTAATAGTTACTGTCATACCAGGAGTTTTTTATTTCTCACATACCAACTTTGGATCATATTCAGGACAAGTTCTGTGATTAGTTAATTATAAGTTCAATGCATTTCATTTCTTCAGGGGCTCCTTGAAGCCAACTTTTTTTACATGTCTGTCTTGAGTCTCATTTGATAGTGGACGTGTGATATCTCATTCTTTATTGCGTATATGAAATAGACAGCAGATAGAATTAGGAATGATTGAATGACATGAATGAAGTGAAAAATTATGAGAACGAAATGTTTGTTGGAAACATTAACATAATATTTATCGATATTTTCGAAGGAGAATAAAAAACCCCAATACTATTTTTCGCTATCTTATATTTACGCAATCCTACATGGCACACTGATAACTTTGTTCGGTTAGTTAAGAAGAATGGGAAGTTAGTTGACGGGGTGACTTGTCATTCTTGCCAACTTTAAACAAACAATGTTCAATGAAGAAATAAGTTGTTAATTCTTTTCTAATTACAGTTTCATCAAACTTTGGAAACATACCTGAAAGACCGCGTGTGGGATTTTCATTTTTACGTCACAAAAACGTGGCCGGAACAGGCTGTGATTATACATTTTCCTGGGATGACTAAAACGGTGAGTATGACATGAAGATGACTAGTTTGCTTCATTTTCCACCTGTAATAGTTGAAAAATGTCTAGTGAATACAATATCCAAACACTTATATTTCAAATATTGTTGCCCTAAAACGGTTCTATCATATTGAGATTGCCGGTTTTATCACATTTCAGTAGGGAATGCAGGACAATCGAAGATAATAAATCATGAATGTTTTTGATATTCGAATATTCCAATGGAAATTAATTTTTCAAAATATATTGATAACTGTTTGGGTAACGATTTCTGAAAAAAAATTGGACAAAAATGCTCATCTTCAGCAATGTGATGAAGTTTTTTTTATTAGGTATGCGACCTTCCATTTTCGATATTTCCTAAACCATGATTTGAAAAAATAACAGACTATACATAAATAAGTAGTGAACAATTCTGAACTGTTGACTATACTATCAAGCATACTATCAAAAGCATAAAAATGTATGGATTATTTGAACATCTCAAAAGTATTTCACCTAAAGGTCGAAAATTTATGTTCTCAAAATTCAAGCTATACTTTTGGTTCATTTGCTATATTTCAAAGACATAGATAATGAATTTTCATTAACGATTTCAGTGAGAGGAACAGGGACAATGGGGAATTTGAAAATACGTATATATTTTCCTAGTATTCCTTATGCACACAACGATTCTATACCCTCTTGGTCAAATTTTAGATGCGCTTGTGTCATAAATCTAATAACAAGGAAATTAATCAAATATAGGTTATGAAAGGGATCAAACATTTCCTAAATGAACAATTTAGTTTTCTGCCAACGTTAAAAAAACTGAAAACAAACCATATTGTTGATAACAAAACCAATATGATGATATGATGATATAAGTTGGATCACTGTTGGTCCATTTTTGAAAAGGAGAATTTGTTTTTTGAAACAAAATTGATATCAAAGTGCACCTTTTTTTAATGAAATTTCTATCAGAATATCGGCCCATCCCAATGAATATCATCAAAAACACAAGTCAGTACTTTTAATTAATTGAAAAACAAAGATCAATTTATCAATGCTCCTCAGTACGTTGATATCGAATTCATTGAAGGTTTTACACAAATTGATATATTGAAAATGCTTTATATTATACAAAGAAACTTGAATGGAAGCAAATAAATTCTGGTTCCTTTTGAACTACACTTTGAAATTACCATGACCTAGATGATTGATAGTTTTCAATTTCCTACTATTGATTTTCGATCACACTAGATTTAGAAATATCGCAACGAATTAAAGAATTAACTGTCTTNTTTTTAGTGAAAATTCTAGAAAAAATTAATTTTTGAGAATGGGTGCGAACTATTTTTTTAAATTCAATGCTAAGTTTCGAGCCATCCCATTCTTTGTACGGAAGAGGAAGATCAAACTGATCTTCACTTGGTTATCGAAACACGTGTCGAGGTGTTCAAATAACGGTTTGGTGTTGGGAAACAACTCCAGTAATATTCATTACTACACCAAAGGTTCCAAACAGTGCATCACAAGTATATCCTCAATGATGACATAACCCTGATCTATAATGAATTTCTGTGGGATGCTATTGAATTGATAATATTTATACGATATATCTTATCAATAGTAGAATAATCACTGATTTTTTCTAGTTTTCCATCTAGCATTGAAGTAAACCATATCAAACATTGTTGAATCATCCTCATTTTTTTCTTCCATAAATTACGAGGACACTTTAATGTTATTCAAGAAATACTTTTTTGTGAGATTTCCACTGAACCGTTTCACAAAAACGCAACACGTGTTTCGCTATACGTTTTTATAAAGAGTTTAGTGGAAATTTCATATATGTATATACTATCTAGTATAGACACGCCTGAAGAAGCTTTTGTATAGCAAAACACGTGTTTCACTGTTCAGTGAAAATCTCACAATAAAGTGTTCGTTGAATACGTTTTCATAAAGTATCGGCCGATTCTATCACATAAATTAATGTTATTCTAACTTTCCTTTAAGATCTGTTGCAGTTATTTTTCTGGTATATGTGTTTTAGAAACTAACATTTGTTAAGTCCAATACGATATATCGGTGTGAGTTGAGACCAATGAGAATTCATTAGTTGAAAGTATCAAGATAATAAGACATTGATTCAATAAATTAAAAAACACTTCAATGTGAGATTTCCACTTGAGTGTTTACAAAACCGTGACACGTATTTCGCTATACAATAGCATCTTCGGGCGTCACTATACTGTGACGTCCGTCAGCATTGTGACGCCCAAAGATGCTGAACACGAGTCGCGATTTTGTAAACTTTGAAGTGGAAATCTCCCATTAAAGTTTTTTTCAATATTCATCAAATATTCATCAAGTATTGGTCAGTTCTATCGAATTCATTCAATACTTCTGTCAAAACTGTTTTATAACATTAATATAATTAGCGATTCTTTTGTTATCTGATAACGCGTTATCAGCAGTGCTTTGAGAATGAACTACCTTCGTTTTTGACAGTTTCAGAATATCACAATATCTATTTCAGAATTGAAATTTAAAACAAATTGCCATGGACAATCATCGAATCATTATAAGAGAAGTTGATGAGGATGTCGTCATATCGGTTGGCTAATGCCATACAAATTTTTTCGAAAATTTGGACATGAAACGTGTGGTAGCAAAGTTTCTTCCAGAATTGCTGAATGCGAAGTGCATCAGTTCTTGCCACATGGTCGTACGGTCGGTGAGGAGTATTATCTTGAAATTATGCGCCACGCATGTCAAAAACATTTGTTTGAAGTTGGTTGACAATATTTCGTGGTGTATTTCATCAGTTCAGACTTCCATTGTCTAATATATTATCAATTGACTTGAAATCCCTGAAAAAAATAAAATGGTTAACCGAAAATAGTAATTTTATTAAAACAAAAAACTGAAATTACAAAGAAATAACATACAAGCTACAACCAAAAAAATAAAAAATTGAAATATTGATAAAGGCTGAAAATTAAAAATAATATTAACATAAAATGAAAAATGAAAATTAAAAGATTCCAAACCAAGTTACGTCACGACGTCTCGATTGTTAGTATCCACAATCGTCTTCGGGTGATAACTGGACACATTCCCCCGAGATCTGACTATTTATAGGTCATTCGAGTGCATTCACCTATCCCCTCTTCTCTCTTTTCGCTTCACTGGTTTTAGCGGGAGATGACCGTTTGGCGGGAGTTGGTCGTTTTTCGCTTGATTAGAGTTTTCCATATGTTACGTATCTCTACGCTGGCTTGACTAAATGCATTGTTGGAAAACATACACGCGGCTTCTTTGAATTTTCTCCTAAACCAGTGTTCCCCTTTGTGGATGATTTCAGCTTGAGCCCACTTGATATTATGTTGATGAGACCAAACATGCTCTGCTATTCCGGATTTGCTGATTTCTCCTCGATGTGTATGTTTCTTGTGCTCAGCAATGCGAACTTTCAATTTCCTCTTAGTTTCACCGATGTATGATTCTCCGCACTCGAATCGTATCCGGTAAATGCAGTTCTTGGAATCGCAGTCCGCGTTTGGTGGCCTGCTTTTTGTGAGGCTGCTACGGATAGTGTTCCCAGATCTGAAGCAGGTCCTGATGTTATACTTGAACCCAATCCTTCTCATCCTTTTCGATAATCCTCTGATGTAGGGAAGTACAAGTACTGGTTGTGGCGGCTTCTCATCAAAAATGACCTTCAATGGAATGGTTACTCCAGAGTGATGATAGAACAGGCTTTAGCTAGAAGACAGCAAGAGCTCCACAAGAAAGAGTTATCACCCGAAGACGATTGTGGATACTAACAATCGAAACGTTGTGACGTAACTTGGTTTGGAATCTTTTAATTTTGATTTTNGGATATATATATATATGTATATAGGTTGATTTTCACATGACCATGGATTTAAAGGAATTTTTAAGGAATTTCGTCCACTATTTGGTAAGGTTGATTTTCATATGACCAGGGATGTAAAGGAATTTTTGGGGATTTTTTCCATTTTTGGCAGGCGTTTTTCATTATTTTCCATATCGCCGTCCACATTTGGCTACCAAAAATAAGACCTTGTAAATGTTTCACACTTACACCCCTTTGAAATACAACCCTGTTCAATATGCGAAAGTAAGGTTCAAATGCACTTTCAATTCTATGATTCGGATGCCTACATTATCAAATTTATTGCGCTACCGACTGCGCCAATGTTGAATATTTGAATTTATATATTCAATATTTAATAATCAACTGGGCAAAGTGAAACAATGATGTTATATTGATAACTAAGTTTTATTCGAGGTCGAAATTCATGGGTGTAAAAATAGAAATACGAACAAACATGTCTTGGACAAATCCGTACTAGGAACACAAATACCCAGAAACTGAAATACAGGGTGTTATGTTATAAGAGTTCGATATTTTACAGGACGATTCCTCAGCTATTTATATGGTAAAACAGTCATATAAGCATGGGTCTGCAAGACCTTTTGAGATACACGGTGTTGAAAATTAATTTTTATTTTGGTTTTTCGTGAATATATTTTAAAATAATGTCGTTATCTGAACAAAAGCTTGGTTGATAAATAGGATTCGATTTTAAAATGAAGGATTTGAAGGGCGTTGGAGAAATCAACGACAGGAGTTGATACGTAATGGAAAGTCACGAGGGCGGAAGGCCTGAACTATTTGAATATGGTAGGAGTTCTGGGGTATTTACCGTCCGATGTGCACCCGAATGATAGCAAGCTTTCTCAAAATTTTATATGTCTCTTAAGGGAACGTGATTTCTTGAAAAGGTTTTTGATGTAGCAGTTGTGCGATTGGGATAACGCTCCTGTTACAAACGTTTAGCCTCATATTCATTTCCGTTAGCAAGTACGTATGTGAAATAGATGTCAGTATTGTTACGTTTTTTCCCGTGAGTTGACCAATAATTGACTACACTAAATAATCAAACTTAATTTTATTTCACTTCAAATACAACAAACACTTCAACTGA